TCTTTCTTTCTTTTTTCTTTTGAAATTTTGGACAATTGAGAAACTTTATTATGACTTTTATCTACCCAAAAACCTTTTTTTAGTTTTTAAATCTCTTTCTAACAATCCATTAACTTTCTTTTGTTTTTTTATTTCTATTATTATTTTCTTTCATCTTTATACCTTCTTTTCTGAAAAATAATTTTTTTTAAAACAAATTTTCTTTTATTTTAGAGCAATACATCAATCTATTATGACACTATGGGTCATTATCATGATTTCAAATGACAAATGTAATGATTCAATGGTAAAAGTTGAATATGAGGTTCGATTAATAATGGGGTATTTATTTCTATTTAGAAAAAGATAAGTTTTTAAAACACAAAGAAAAGGTAATTCAAAAAAATCAAAGAAATCAAATATCAATTCCTTAAATAATGAACATTTGAATGCCTTTAATCAAATTAGTCTATCTTTTCCAAAGAACTGATTACATTTGTGATCTTGATACATTTGATCTCATGGAACTAAACCTTTGCCCCATAACTTTCACTTGATGGAAATCTACCTTGAAAGTTATTTCCCTGAGCTCTGACATTGATTCGCTGGCCTTTGTGCTATTTTGTTCATTTCCCACTTGAAAGACTTTCTCCTAGCTATACCTTTATTTAAGCTTCTTTTTCATGTTTTTAGCTTAAACGACTCCCTTTTAATTCAGACTACCCATTTTTGGGTTTTTGGTTATAATCTTCATTTTTATTTTTTCTCTTTTTCCTCTTTTTTCTTTTTCTTGTTCATTTTTTTTTTTTCTTTTTTGTTGTCACTTCAAGCAAAATATTTCTTTGCAGCATTAAAGTTTACAAGATTTGGTAATTTATCACTATCTATTTTTATAAAGATCAGGGTTACGTCGGAGAATTCTTTATTTACCATGTATGGACCTTCCTAATTAGGTACCATTTTCCCTTATTGTCATATTGACTTAGAAGGATCCTCTTCAAAAATAGTTCACCTTCATGAAAAGCATTGGGGGTTGCATCTCCTCTTTTGATACATCTGCTTATGACAAAGTGCCAAAAGCCGCTATTCTTTAATAAGATTTAGTTGTTTAAAGCAACCTAAATCCAATCTACCTCATTTAATTTTACTTTCATCAAAACTCTCAGAGAAAGAATTTTTATCTTGATTGGCAACACTGCATTCATTCCATACACTAGTGAAAATGAGGTAACCTTTATGGAAGTTCAAACTGATGTTCTATAAGCAAGTAAGGAAAAATGTAACTTCTCATGCCAATCCCTGTATGTATCAATCATCTTTTCTAATATCCTTTTACTAAAGGGAGGGATCGAACCTACTACCTTATGGTTAATATCTGTACGATCCTAAAATTTTGATATGATATTTATTGAAGGTATTTTTGACCAAAAATACCTTCAATAAGCCTATGAAATTTTTTGGTGGAATTATTAAAGGCGTTTCTTATAAAAAAACGTCTTTAATAATCGCATACATTTTTTTATAAGGGGATTATTGAAGGTGTTGTCTACCAAAAATACCTTCAATAATTTCCTATCAATTTTTTTAACGGGATTATTCCAGGCACTTTCTGTTAAAAACACTTTTATTATTCATTTAAATTTTTAAGGCATGATTATTCAATGCATTTTAGTCGAGAAACGCCACTAATATCAAGTCTTGGGTGGCGTTTATAAGTAACAACACCGCTATTTGAATATTTAGTGACGTTTTAATAATAAACGCTTTAAGTTTTATAAAAATATAGAAGCTAGCAGCGTTTGTAAGTGAAATGCCGCTACAAAACTGCCACTAATCTTTTATTTTCTTGTAGTGCTTATCGTAAATAGACTATTGAATTGTGATGTCGCCCATTGAATCATCTGTCCCTCCCTCCCTGGATTTAGAAGTGATAAAATCCATGTAGGACACCTCCTAATGATGTGGCTTTTTTTAGTGAAGTATTGCTTAGCCATGTTAAGTGAAATCTTTTAACCTGGCTTTTTTAATGTAGTGACTAGCTAAATTAGGAACTCAATTATTTTATTTGCTTAGAATGGCGAGGTGATTTTCTAAAACCTTCTAAAAATTGAGGTGATAGATGGCAAAGCTTAGGAGGTTGGGGTAGAATAAAAAACGACAGATAAGTGAGATTGCTACCATGAATTTAACAATTTACCTGTGGCTATGTGTATTCTACACCTTTTAGCCTTTGTTATGTGTGCTTGATCATCAATGATGAATGATAACGTTCTTCCTTTTTGTTTTGTTAGGGCCTGTTCTTTTTTTTTTATTCGGTATCAATGTGAATGATCTCTTTAGCTTGGGGTAATAGGACTTTGTAATAATTATTATTTTCAATTAGACCGTAGTTGAAAAGTAGACTGTATTAACTATACTAACGTAATCTATGCTATCGTAGCGAGTTCAGTTGAGAATAATATGGTCATTACATGTATGCTACAGGTAGGGATGGCAACAGGTCGGGTTGGGGCGAGTTTTTACTCACTTCGAACTCAACCCGATTTTACACCGGTCAAACCCGAACTTGACCCGACTCGAATTTTTTTATTTTTTTAATACCCGAACCCGATAATTATATAAACCATATTTGATGCGATCCGATTCAAAATTAATAAAATATTATTTTTTAAAATATAAAATATTATTTTTTAAATATAAATATTTAAATATATAATTATATAAATATATATAAATAAAAAATTAATTTAAAAATTATTTTCATATAATATTAGGTCGAGTCGAGTTGAGTTTCTCTAAAACCCAAACCCAACTTGAACCTGATATTTTCTTAGCGTTACTCAACTCGACCCAATTCGAAACTCAATTTTCGAAAAAAATCATCGATCTTATAGAATTAAATCAAATCGAAACCGTCGAGAACGGGTTGGGTTGCCTACAATAGCTACAGGTTTTGACATATCATTTTAACTTGAAATATCTCGATTTCTGGTGTTGCAACTTGGATGTCAACCGATGTTGACCGGTCCAAAGCAGAGCAAACTACTGCCAAATGTTGAGGTAAATATTTGACATGGATTCTTGAGCCAAGGCAATGCTTGTAATTTTTTTAATGATAGGAATGGTTCTCACAAGAATGTTTCTGTCAAAGTGTAGGTAGTTAGAGAATACTTCAAAATTTTTTAAGGAATCATGCACTATTTCGTATATTACATATAAACCCTTGCACGCTACCATGAGTTTTATTTTTTGAGGTAGCTGGTATAAATAGTAGACATTATACAATGCTATTAGTTTATGACTTCTGTTTTCGTTTCATTTTCTTCGTCTTTCTCTTTCGCTGCTTTCTGGAATCATAGGCTTTTGTACCTAATAATCTATGGAACTGATTTTTGATAAATTGTTTCCGGTGGAACCTCCTTGATTTTTGCTTATGTATGCTGTGCATCAATCTGTGTCCTCTGTTGTTCAGTGGGGAATGATTAGACTTGACAATTCATGTATTTGAGTTGTGCTAACATGTCATTTATAAGATTATCAGGTCTAGGAATAGTCATATGTGGTTTTCCAATTGATATTGGAAGGATTACTTATATAAATGAGAATGATGATTGATGGATCTCCGAATATTGATGAAAAGGACGGTTGCTTCACTGGCATAAGGCAGCTATTATAAAATCCTGGGTTTCTTTGATAATAATAGAAGTAAAAATGTTATACGGTCTCATAGATAATATAAATAGTTTTCTGTAAATAGATTATTAAGACCTGCTCACGGGGAAGATCCATGGAGTCATGGACCAAAACACCTATCAGCGTGCGGTTTTTTCATACAACTTTTTTCCAGCCAAACAACAGCAGTTAATCAATGGCATGGCTTCCAAATTATCAGAATCAGATATATTTGTTTCATTGTATAATGCATCTAAATATATGTTTGTTGTTTGGCCTATCTAGAATTTTTTTTTAGTCTTCGAGATTGTCAAGATTTAAACTTTGGTCAATTGCTGAGTCGATTAGGTTTCAAAATTGATTCCATTTTCTAATTGAAATGGAATTGGGAAGAGGGAAAGCTTGCAAGTTGCAATAGTGCAGCTGCAGGATATATTAGTGGACAATTTGGTTAATTGCTCAGTTTGCTGCCTTCCAATAACAGAATGTAACTTAAATCTCAAAAGAGTTGCACTCGCTTTGGTCCTACACTACTAGGCCTTTATTCCAAAAGATAGTTTCCAGAACCAAATTACATGAGTGACAAAAGAGTATTGACTTGAACTTCCCAAAGATTTAGTTTTAGGAAGCATTCTAGTTTTTCCTATTCCTAAAACTACATTTGACAATTTTAAATATTATATAATAATATGGTACGAAAAAATGTATAAAAATAATAAAATTTGAAATTTGAAATTTAAAAAAAAAATAAGTGTTTGATAAAAATAAAAAATATATATTATATTTGACGTATTAACGTAAATTTAACATGATAATTTTTATATTTTCATTATGGATTTATGCATAATTTGTCATATCTATTTAAAACTACCGAAGGAAAAAATAAAACAAGAAAAGTCAAAGGAAAAGGATAGCGAGGATTCCTGACTTAAACTCTTTCCTAGTTTGGTAGGAAAATAAGAATCATTCGTAGTTTCCTGTACACATTTGGCATCTCATCCAACATATATGACCCCTTTTATTTTTGGATTAATACATCTATTTGGCTTTTTTTTTCACAAAAATTTGGAGAATTTAATCAAGAAAATCGTACACAAAACAAAATAGATTATATGGTAACCTAATTCATTAAACCTTTATATGGAAATTTCATTGCGTTTGACAACAAAACCAGTCAAAACCAGGGACTAAATGGCTAACAGTTAATGCTACACTCAAAACTTAAACCGCTTTAACACAGAATTTACTATAATCCTAGCCTTCACCATGCTAAAATCCACCAAAAAAAAAAAAAAAACAGAAACAGAAACACCAAGAAACATTGAACATATAACATATTGTATGCAATTTACTTGGCATGAAAAGAAGAAGTTAAGATGGGGATCGATCACGCTTTGTTGAACTGGACTGCGGCTGTCATCAATGGGAGGATATTTCTTCCATACCCATGTTGCAGAGAGTTCAGATGTTGCTGAAGTTTCACAACTAGACTTTCATAAACTGGACTACCCCTTTTCTTTGTCTCTCTTAAAGCAGTTTGGAGAACATAGTTTCCATATCGATCTTTGGCAACTTGAAAAAGTTGATTGCTCTGAAGAAATTCGTGTACCACATGATCCATCCCTGATGATCTCAAGCACTTCTCCACTACATGACTTCCTCCTTTCTGCATGGATAGTTTTGCATAATAACCTTTCAGTTTTGAGCAGATTTTGTCGATGATGGCAGGATTTTGGAGTCCCAGGACGCATTGCACAACAAAGTTGCCTGCAGGATCTTGTGCGAGGTACACCACATGATCACAGATCAAGTTGAGGAGTTGATCTCTTCGAGGACCTTTGATTCGGGAGATGAAACTGTTCAAGGATACACATCCTCTCTCATGTGTGGCTAGTTTGAGACATTTATCAATGGCTTCAATGTAGAGCAAGTCATTCTTCTGAGAATCAACAACGTCTAGACACTCCAGTATCACGTATTGTCCTGTTAGATTGACCATCAGTTCCCAGAATTTGTTGCACAAAGCTTTCACAACCTCAGTAACCAATGGTGACTTCTCAAGCACTTTGATCAGCTTCTTAATTGAATAACTGCCATATCTATCGATTGATGCATGAAAGATGTATCCACAAGAGAATGTTAATTTCTCCATAATCATCCGCAGCTGACTTTCGTCTTCTAACTCAATCAGCTTCTTAAATAGATAGCGTCCATATTGGTTGGTCATCAACTGGAATATGTACTCAATAACCCCTTCAAATATCAGGCTTTTAATTCTCGGATCCTTCAACAACAGATCCTGCAATTTTTTTGAGCCATATTCACTCATGGCCAGAGTAATAATCCAATTACCTGGCACAATGCCATTGATCTTCTTTTGATTCCAGACAGCACTCGAATTCGCTGTACTAATGTTGAAACCATTGCCCAAAAGATTTCCTGCTGCGGAAATTGCTTCAGGATGAGAAGGAAGGCCAGAGTTTCCATTAGAAATACCATCGAACAAGTTGACATTATTGAACATGGAATCTTTCTGTCTCTGTGATGCCAGATTATACAAGTATGGTGCTCCAAAACCATTCACCGCATTCAATGTTTTTGCAGCCAGGTTTTCAGCAAAACCATGGATTTGATAATCCACACCATTCAGGTTCATATGGTTGCTCAATCCAGAACCAGGCAAGACGCCTGTCAAAGAACCATTCAAAGGCAAAGATGAAGAAACCCTGTTGCCCTGAGGAATGGTAGCCGAGCCATTATCAATCTCGAACTTGCCATTCTTTGAATGAAGATTCCCAAAAGAAAACTGAAGGGTTTCAAGAGAAGTAGAATCCATGGTACCCCTTGTGTTGGGGCTTTCAGGATCAGCACAGTTTTCCATGGAAGTACTCACAGAACAAGAAACAAGATAAACAAGAAAAACAAGAGAGGAAACAAAGAAGCAGAGAGAAGGAAACTCAATGGAGGAGCTAATATGTAAATTTTCCTATTTATAATACTCGAAATTATTTTTCGTTTGCATGTAGGATTTCAAGTTTGGGTAGGATTAGAGGTATTATAGAAAGAGAGCTGAATACTTGTTTACCAAGAAATCATTCCCCAGCCTCAAGAATGAATCTGGGTTCTAAATAAAAATTTTAACAAAAAAAAAAAAAAAACCTATCAAAATTCATTAACCCATTTTTTTTGCATTAATAAATTTTTTTATACAAGAAATTTTAAGGTGAGAGGAGGTTTTTTCATTTCAAGATCATAGCAAATCACAAATTTTAGAGAAGACTTACATTTAATTTACAGATCATCTACTTAAAGAGATCGCAACGTTCATTAATAATTTATATAAGAGGTTTTTATATACTGAAGGTTGATTAAAATTTTTATACTTATTAGGGCTAGGGCTATAAAATTTTATCCAAAGTTGATCCCAAATTCCAATTACTTGAAAGCCAGGTGAGAAGTAATTATGTATTAAAAAAAAAAAACTAAAATATGAAAAAAAAAAAAAAAAAAAGAACCAGTATAGTAGAACGAAGTCACAACAAGAATCCATTGGGAAGAAAAATAATGCAACAAATAAAAAGGCTAAATTCCAATTTAATCACTTTAACTTCTCAAAAGTTTTTGTTTAGTCATTTAACTTTAAAAAAATCATATTTTGTTCATTAAAGTGTTATTGTTTTGATCACTCAATCATTTAAAGATAACTACATTTTACTTAACATTCCATATCATCATATGTACTTTGGACAACTGACATATTCATGTTAGAAATGATCAAAATGTTATTTTCCATATTTGGAGGACTAAAACAAGAAATTTCACAAAAGCTAAATGATAAAAGAGTAATTTACTCTAAATTGTGCCATTAAGTATAAATTCCTTTCAACTAAACTAATAGTTAAGGTTTTCATCAATTTGGAATCTTGATTGTATCTTTTATTTTTTTTAGAAAAAGAGTTTTTTATTTTTTTTATTTCTTATAAAATCACTTAAATAATCATATATTTGATTGAAAATATATATCAAGTTTTATAAATTCCTTTTCCCAAAATATTATCTTGAAATTAAAGTAATATCCAAATAAGCTCTCAAATTTTACTCAAAAATAAAAATAAGTTTTCAATTTTTATTGCATGAAATTAAGGTCATAAACTTTTATTTTATTATAATCAGAAATTTCAAGTTATAAAATATCCAATTTTTTGTTAAAATCTTCTTAGTGGGATGATTTAACTTATAAAAATGCTTAATTAGATTTATTTGGAATGAGCAAGATGATAAATATTTAAGGGAATGCTATTTTAAAATTTTTGGCAACTGAATTTTAGTCATTCATTTTCAAGGTTTAACATGTATAATTAAATAAAAGTTTATAACCTTAATTTCATATAATAAAAGATCAATTATTTGCTTTTATTTTTTAATAAAATTCAGAGGTTTATTTGGTTATTATTAATAATTTTAATTATTTATAATTATGCTACATATATAAACCCTCTAAAAGAGTGGTTCATATCATGATTGATAATCCTCTCATATTTCTTAAACATCACTCTTTTAAGTTATTAAAACTCAATACCTCCAAGTTTTTTTAGTCAAAAATACCTTCAAATTGAAAACTTAAACTCTAGCTATTGGATTATCTTGGACACAATTTAGAGATGATAATATAAACAATTTTAATAATTTCTTATATAATAGTAGAAGATAACTTGAAATTTTATAACTTTATTTAAAAAATCTTTTCAATTTTAAAATCAGTGAGTCATGACCCAAGAATATATAAGTATATACATGTAAACAAAAATTTTAAATCTTTAAAAAAAACCATTTCTTCAAAGTTTATAGTTGATTTTGATATCTTTGAAATTTCAAGTTGGAAGAAGTAATATACAGGTAGATATTTTTTGAATAATTCTAAAATAACTTGTAAGGAAAAAAGGAAAAAAGGCTTGATATGCACGGGACGGTAGGGATTGTCTCCACCATATCGGTACTTGGTGTTTCAACTTTAAGGTGCTTTTAGTTTATTACATTTTGCAACTCTTATTTCAATAATAAATTAAAAATTTTGCTCTATTTTGACTTCACCATAAATTTAAAAAAAAAAAAAAAAAACGAAAAGAAAAGCTATCAGTTTGGAAGTTGTAGGCTGTTTAACTTTCATCTACAGCTCTTTATCAATGCAACTTGTCCATTTTAGGATATAAAAGAAATTTTTTACTTTTTCAATAATACATTTATATTTTTCACTCTAAAGATAACTGTAATGGGACATTGAAAAATTTTGGATATCTATTCAAAAGTGGAAAGCACATGAGAGTAAGAGAGAAAACTCAACTTCATCTTATCTAAATCTTAAAAATATTATCTAGATAGTTCTAGAAGCCAATTCCTACTCTATCGCCTTTGTTAATATATTTCACTTCATTTTTTTCTTTCTTTTTATTTCCTGTCTTCCCTTTCTTCTATGGCTTGCTGATTCTTCAAATTTTGTTATTCATAATTTTTCATCTTTACTCCCGTGGTTATTATATTTCATTTGAAAACTAATTTTGATTCATAAGCTTTCTTTTCTATTTATTTTATTAGATATTTTTTAGAAATCAATATGGGTTTTTTAGATATTTTTAATTTAGAATATGTTATACTATCTTTGATGCTTTGTATCCTCCATTTTTATTTTTTTTAATTTCTTTCCTTTTCCCCCAAAATTTTATTTTTTGGATCAATGAAGAGCATACTGACTATAAGATGTTTCATTGTTCAAAGAGTTTTAGTAGTGAAAAAACCCTTTTTTCATTAGAAATAGAAGAAAAGGCAATTGAATTTAGGGTGAAAATAGGGAGAACATCATCGAGCGAGGACAAGTCCTCTATCATTCTCTTTCTTCCTGCCCTTTTAACTTTTAATTATTTGTTCAAAATCTTGAATTTCTAATTTTTTTTTAATCTTTTTGGGGGTTTTCTAACTTATAATCATTTATCTATACGTGGATTCGCAATCTTCATATATCTTCATAAATATATTATTTCAATATATACATATTCTTTACATGATGTTTAGTGGCTAAAAATTTATTGATTTGTTCTTCAGGGTTTTTCAATTTCTTACTTTTTCACTATATTTCACTCATTATAACAATCTTTCTTGAAAGTGCACTTAAAAATATATAAATAATGATAACAAATAAAAAATGTAATTATATATTGAATGAATTAATGAGTTAAAATAACAATACTGAACATTTTAAAGTTTCATGAAAACTAGCTTACAATAGAATGTAAAAAAGATTTTTGATGTTTTAATTGTTCGACTAAGGTCATTTATTTTTTGATTTTACTATATTACTCTTTATACTTCTTCCTCCACCTCTTTATTCCAACTTAATTTTTGGTTGAATGGTTCTATCCCAATATATTTGATTGGAGGATTTTAAAGTAAGTCATATTATTTTGTGTTTCTAATCACAACCACAGGAAAATAAGTACTTTTTGTTCATTAAGTTGAGTTTGATGAATTTTTTTTAAGGTGAGATTTTCTTCTTTTTGTATTTTTTACTTTTTTTATATAAATTTTGATGTATTCTTTTCTTAAGAATAAATCATTGTAGCAAAGGTTTGAAAATACTTTTCAACCTAAATTCTTAACTACATGTTTTCTTTGCAAGTGCTCTTAATGCAAGTTCAAATTTATATTTTAAGTGATGTGAATTTTTGGTTTAAGATGTCTCTTTTAGATAAAAGTTCATTCCTTTTGCTCTACTCCTATCTATCCCTTTCTTCTTTCCCTTTTAACTTTCAATTATTTGTGTGAAATCTTGAATTTCTATTTTTTTTTATCTTTTGGGGGTTTTCTAAGTTTTGATCATTTCTCTATAAGTGGATTTCACAATCTTCACAGCTTTGATTCAATTACTTCTATTGATCTTCATAAATACATGATTTCAATAGATACATATTCTTTACATGATGTTTAATAGTTAAAAATTTATTGATTTTTTCTTCAAGGTTTTCCAATTCTTTGCTTTTTCACTATATTTCACCCGTTATAACAGCCTTCCTTGAAAGTGTACTTAAAAATATGTGAATAATGATAACAAATAGAAATGCAATTACATATTGAATGAATTAATGAGTTTAAAGAAATAATATTGAACATTTTAAAATTCCATGAAAACTAGCTTACAACAGAATGTAAAAAAGATTTTTGTTATTTTAATTGTTGGATTAAGACCATTTATCTTTTGACTTTGCTCTATTACTTTTTATACTTCTTTCTCCACCCTTTTGTTCCAACCCAATTTTTTTTTCAATGGTT